GGGATCGTCGGTTCGAATCCTACTGAAAGAAGTCTGATGAGGAAATGTGGTGATTTCCGAAATAGCTATCACTTCTACCATTTTTTCAAATTATTGTTGCTTTTCCATAATAAATTTTCGTATAAAAAAACGGCCTCGAGCTCGATATAAATTGTTGAATATAATTGTTATACAAGGCAAAAAAAAAAAATAACAAAAACAATAACTTAAGGACGAGCACACCTAAAAGTTAAACATTCTACAAATAGAATTATTAGCAAAAACCAACAAAACCAACAACCACATGATCAAGTGAATTGCAGCGGAATAGCTGCGCTTGATTGTGTTGGCATAACAAAAATGAAAAATAGTGGAAATAAGCAAACGATAATTTACAAGGCGTCTTAGCACGGTGCATAGGCAACTGGCTGAGTCAGTGGGATCGTCGGTTCGAATCCTACTGAAAGAAGTCTGATGAGGAAATGTGGTGATTTCCGAAATAGCTATCACTTCTACCATTTTTTCAAATTATTGTTGCTTTTCCACAATAAATTTTCATTTAAAAAAACGGCCTCGAGCTCAATATAAATTGTTTACATATAAATATAATCTCAATCGAAGCTCGTTTGTTAATAACAGCAAAAAAGGACCAGTCCAGCGCCTTCGTGTTGACCTGCAGGCTGTGTCGGAGCCACAGCTGCTAAACTTAACGTAGAATACGTGATATTAAGATCACATTCAAGTTAAAAACGGCACTCGTTTCGATTGTATTGAATTGAATTTAATAAATCAATATGAATTGCAATTAATTAATAATTAGCAATAGACCAGCTTATAAATAGATATATGCCATGGCGCGCATCACTACTTCGATTTATTTTTATTTCATTCTGCAGAAATTTGTATTACCTTTTATATTAGCCTAGGTCCCCGCATTAGTATTCTTCTTCGTGTTCCTGCTCGTCTTCGCATTATCTTCGTCTTCGGATTTGTGCATAAGTTAGGTAAGACTTGTGAAACAGCTGGCAACCCTCCTAAGTATAGTGAAGAAATCTCTGGCGTCTGTTATTGCGATACCTACATATTTCATGTGCCCGATGAATTAAGTTAAGTTTGATCTTTTAAATACGTGACAACGCTCCTAAATACAGTTCTTAAATTATTTAAATTAAATATTTTTCATAATTGCTTTAACTTACTAAATAGTTTGAGTTTACCTTTTTAAACAGGTGGCAACCCTCTTTAAGTATTCTAAAAATTCAAACTAAGGATATCTTGCCACCTTTGTTTCACGTCATATTTCAATATTTCATTTAACTTATGCTTACTTTAATTAATTTCTGATTTTAAAACCTTTTTCGACTTACACACATATTGCGATACAAATTTAAATTGTGTATATAATTCCCTTAATTCAAGTTGAATTTAATTTCTAAAACATATGGCAACCCTCTTAAGTAAAGTTCAGAATAAAATATTTTTAACCCATGTCAATTTATACCCATATTCTTTAATAATTCATTCGACTTGTTAAATAATTAGAAAAAAATTGTTTTTAACTTTGGAATTTGTGTTCTCAGCTTTGAATTATCTAACTAAAGAATATGATACAAAATAATTAAAAGTATTATTATCTATATATTGCAAAATTTGTTTACGAATATCTCGCAAATTGTAATTCCTTGTTAGAAAAAGTTTAAGTTATTATTATTAAGTTATTAGTTATTAATAGTATTTTAAATTGTTGAGCTTTACGGTTGTAAGTTCTACATATTTTAAATATTCAATATGGCATAATGCATATTTTAAATATTCAATGTAGCAATTAACAATTTTTCTGAATTTTCCATTTTTCTGATTGCTCCAGCGATGCGTTTCGATAACTTTTCGGATGCGTTTTGTAAAAGTATACAATGTCAATATTTTATAGTTCGGCGTTATGGAACATTACACTTTGTACGTAAGCAAAGCAAATGACGTTTTGGAAGTCAGCTTCTATAACCTTGCGTTTACACAAGACAAGACAATTGAGAATATGTATTAGTTGTCACATTGTTTGACTAAAGTAGGCATCGAGACAATAAACTGTTAGAGGCCTACATCCAGGGTTGCCACTGACGAAGAAAAATGTTTGCCAACCACTTGGAAACAACTACCAAATCTGGAAAATATCTACCAATAGCTTTTTTTTAGTTATTTTAATAAAAACTATAGTTTAGCTTTACTTTTTAAGTTATTTCAATAAACATTTAAATTTTTTATTAAGGAACTTTTTATTTAACTAATAATATGGTATTTGGGATCATATTAATGGCATCTTCTCGGTTTTCTTAAACTAAAAGCGAAAATGATGAAACTAAAGGCAACAAAGAAACTTCATCATTAAAAAAACTTCAACTGGGATATTATAAGCTAATACTGTGACTCAAAAGAGCGCTTGGTATTTGTTTTAATATTCACAATGTTTTTAAGTAAACATTTTTTTGCTACTTTTTTTGTATAAGAATGATGTTTGCGCT